GGGAGGGTATAATAATTATAATTACACCAAGACCATTTTAAGATACACTGATCTGTTGTAAAGTAGAAACTGAAATATTAACGTACACCTGCTATGCTGTAAACTTACCCAGAAAAGGTGTAAATTTAGCTAGCTAATTCTCGTGTATGAGACAACACCACGATAGTGTAAAGTGTAAACGTGCACCAGAATTCGAATAAAAGTGTACAAGTTTGTATGGGGAGCAAAATATACTGACTGGCCTGCCCTTCACATTTTAAAAGGCTTTTTGAAAAGCCTGTGTAAAAGTGTAAAGTAGAAAATAATTATTTCGTAAGACTACATTTAAACGGTGAACGTAAACGGTGTAAACTATTGGCATTATAATTATTCCCTTTAAATGCAGCTTTTAATACTTAACAGTTATTCTTGTTAAGCAATAATTAGGTTATTCTTGTTAAGCGTTAGGGTATTCTTGTTAAGCGTAAAACAGGCTTATTCGTGCAAAAAATGAATTCTTTTCGGCTTGGTGGCAATATTGGTCACCTAACGAATATTTCGAACTAGATTTCGAAACGTCAATGTTCCCATGGCAACATGACGACAACATAAAGCCTTCCAATTTAACCCATAAATGTGCCGCTATCTCAGAACCTATCTTTTTTATTTCATATATCAATAGGGCATGATACTCTGCAACTGTGGTGAAATTTTAAAAAATTCTGTATTGTGTGATTTTTTTAAAAGCGAAAATTTTATTGCGAAATTTCCACATTAAAGATTTTTTTAAAAATTGAAATTTATAAAATTTACCGCAAAATAAATTCGTGGTCAAAATTTGACTTTTAGAAGCCATGCAGATGCTCACTTTAAATAAACCATGAAGTATTTCTGAATTTCTTTATTTTTATATCTTAAAACAAATTTTGTTTTAAAATTAATTCGATTTATTTTATAAACTCATGTTACTATACCTAATTGAATTTTTCAATGAAATATTAAGTCATAATTTTCATATATTATTCAGGTTGACAATGTATGCATATGCACGGCTATGTTATAATTAGGCTACACTGGCTAATAGGTCCAGTGTCTTAAAATGTCCTTGTATTATTCTACTTTTGGGCGACACAAACGGCACCCACCAGGAGCGGATAACCGCCACAGAAGATGCTTTGTCTTGAAAGCGAAGTCCGCCAGTTTGCCGCTCCGTATCTCTGGTTTTATGCATGCACTGCAACAAAAATAGAAATACCACGTTCGATTCTGAGTTATTTGGTATATATATATATATATATATATATATATATATATATATATATATATATATATATATATATATATATATATATATATATATATATATATAAATGACAAAGTAAGTCATATCTCGAATACGCATGCGTACTACATGTCGTAGTTTCGAATACGCATGCGTACTACGTGTCGTATATATATATATATATATATATATATATATATATATATATATATATATATATATATATATATATATATATATATATAAAACTGACAAAGTAAGTCATATCTCGAATACGCATGCGTACTACATGTCGTAGTTTCAAAGCAGCGTAAAGAGCCATGAACGGACTATGACAGTGTGTCCTGCTCACATTAGCAACTGTGGACAGCTGTTTCGCCCTTTTGGGGCTCGTCAGCACAGTGTAGCTAATGGACAAGCTGCACATCCAGATATTTATATGACGACAAAGTAGGATGCGGATGTGGGACACTTTTATAATATTTTGTGTCACTTTTATAATATTTTGTGTGTCCCACATCCGCATCCTACTTTGTCGTCATATATATATATATATATATATATATATATATATATATATATATATATATATATATATATATATATAT